GAAGTCAACAGTAAACCTCTTTGATAAAAGTAGGAGTGGTGGCTGATCCAGGTCATTGTGCTGATCTCCTCAAAAGTCACAAGGTTTTATGCTGAGTTGAGAATTTTTCTGGTTTTCCCACCAGGGGACACCTTCTGGATACCTGTACTGTAAGCCTTAGCCTGCCATCAGATTCAGGCATGTATTTTTCCAATGAGGTCAATCAAGTAGCGTTTAGTTTCTGTGCTGCCCATTAGAGTGGTTTCTGCACATCTCTGAGCTGGGTTTAAATCCAAGAAATCAAGTGCTTCTGCCAGTACAAAGGGAGCAGAGGGCTTTACCAAGGCTTTACTGCCCCAAGGATTTACATGGATTTAGATATGCGTGTTTCTCAGCAGGCACTTAAGACTCTGTGAACTAAATAATCTCTGTACCACTTCCTACAGTGTGGGAACAGGCAGATTTATAAACAATGTCAAAAATTATTTTGTAATGGAAAATATAAGTGTTTTGTTACTGTAGTGTCACAGAGAAGCGTTTTGTTATAACTTGTTTTTTTCAAAGGTTTTATGTTATCTTTGGACTTGGGGCTTTTGATGGTGGTGGTTTATGGTTGCTTGACTACAATAGTTTAACAAGTCTGATACTAAACTATAGGTTATTTTGATCAAATGGAAACACATGATTCAGACAAAAATTCTGCACCCATTCTCTGATGAATAAAAAAAATCAGTGGGGTTAAGACGAGAATGAGAGAAGGACAAGCATACAAAAACTTAGCAAACACCCTCAAAACCACATGTGGTTCAGGGACTTCCTGCACCAGGTGTAATTTCAGTTTAAGTACTAAGCCTTACAGTATTCTTTCACTCTGATTGTCCCCATGCTCCCTTGGGACCCTCAGCACCTTCCAGGACCGTCAGCACCCTTCAGGACCCACAGAACCCTGAGACATGGATTTCCACAGTAGACCATTGCTTTGGCTTCAAACCTGCACCTTCCGGTTTCACTTGATGCCCTTTTTTTCTCATGCAGGAGAAAACAGAGTGAGCAGTAGATGCCCACTGGCTGTCTCCATGCCCCCCAGTCATGATTTTATAGATCTCAGTTTTTTCCTTCCAACACCTCTCTCCCTTCCAAGTAGATGGCATCTTACCAAGTATCTTGTCTATTTGTTTTTTTAGAAATAGGAAAGTGGCGCTGGCATCTTTAGAGCTAAGAAGCAATTGCATCCTTTCTGAAATCAAGCATCTTGAAAAAGGGAATAAATATATGGTTTCCATGTTGCACATCCACATGTGAGTGGATGAGCACAAATCTCGTATTTCATTAAACAGGTATCAAGTAGCTGAGTAACCTAGCTATTTGACCTATGTCTTTTTCTCGTCATTTGGGTCTGTGAGTAAAAAAATCAGACACTTTCACTTCCCCATTTTCCTTGTATTTTCGGTGAAGAGAGAGATGTAAGGTTTAAATCATATTTTACTCATGGATATCCAGAGCATCCTGAGTATACCTCTCAAGTGTTCCTCTGCTAGTTTGGAAAGGTAACCATTCATGGTGACCTTCTTACAAAAGCAGCACACTTCAGATAGATACAAATCTTTTCTTTTAAACCTACCACATTCACAGTAAAACTGGTTGAGTGCCTGTTTTCTCCACCTCTTCTCAACCTAGATTCTATAATCCCTTCATTTCTTGGGAAAAAAAAAAAAGAATAACACTTGGGTGTCCACAGCATAGCTTCAAGGAAGTGTGTGGGTGGGTGTTTGACATTCCAGCTGGCAATTTTCACTACTCCTCTCAAAAGGTGCAGGAGCTGTACAAAATCCTGTTATCCTGTATATACTCAAGCTTCCTCTGGGCTCCCACCTTTTGCCTATGGCTTGAACTCCATGCATCCTTTCCAGGGGAGGAGATCAGGAATGTTCTTGGTGATTACTTCTTGGAGTTTAATGTTAACTGCTAGTTGAAGCAGTGATGGATTAATTTCTGTATTGTAAGCACTTTATTTTCTTGGTGCCAGGACCCTTAGTAAATTTGAAGTTAAATTTTGTATCTCTAAGTATGTGAACAGAGTAATGAGGAACATTTACTGGCTTCAACATAGAAAAGTGCCTTAACAAGTGATGAGGTATTAGCATGCACTTTACATCCCAGTGTTTTCAGTAAAGTTTTGAATCAGGACCCTGCTTAAGTGGAGTCTTGTTTCGCCTACTGAATGTCTAAAATACTTGACATGCCGATTTTGGTGTGAGTTTTGTCAGCCAGTCCAGTCTTCTACCGCATTTTTTCAGAGCATGCCCATATAAACCAGAAACACATATGATCACAGCCTTCAGCGACTTGAAGAAAGATAAACTGAATGTGATTCAATGACCTGAAGGTGAAATGTTCTGATAGCTAATTACCAATGCTACGATTCATGCAACCTTCAGAGGAAACTTTTGCTATCATCCTCAGAAGGTAGAGGCATGCAGTGAGGTTGACTGAAAGCCAATGAAATGGATATGTGAGCAATATTCCAATTTAACTCCACAGAAGCCCACTAGTTAGTAAGTAGTTCAAGTCTTTCAGTGCCTGCTGTGTTACTGCCTATAGGGAAAACACTCTAAGTGCTTTCTCTTACAAAGAAAAGAAGTTTCCATCTATCTTTTATAAGGCTGTCTTGTCACATCTATTATATAGCATTACACAGCCAGCCAGAGGAGGTACTGGGGTGATTTCCATCATATGTTTATCAAGACGCTTGTTGTGAAGGGTAGAATTCGTATATATCAAGATATATATATGTAGACACATATATATACACATATGTATGTATATGTATATACACACATAAAAATGTAGGTCAGTTACCTGTGAAGATATGTCTTAATCTGACCTATGGACTGTCAGATGTGGGGTGTTAGTGTCTATATATGTGAAATTCAAACATTCTGTCATCTGGTCAGCTTGGCACAAACAGGACGTGATTATCCTTATTCTGAGACTATCAGGTCATTTACTGGAACGGCTTTTAGAATTACTTTGTTCCGGTCCATGGCTGACCAGCTATTTGAGTAAATAGTAAAGAACAGGTTCTGGTTTTCAGTCTCCAAAGTATGCTGTTAATGTCACAGAAGGAAGAAAATGGCGAGAGAGATGCCTGAACAATGCTGGGAGTGGGGCTTAACCCCTAAGCCACCCAATATCCCTTTCCATTCAAAATTGCAAAGAGGAGATGGGGATTGGAGGAGCAATAAGAGGGATGATCCAGAGACTATCAATTTTATATAAGGAAGCATTTTTAAAGGTGCATGCATAAATTATCTATGCTTGCGTGTGCACAAATGCGAACTATCATCTGTGTGCACAAAGAAGTGAGATGTTAAGTTTTCAGCTGAAGACAGACACTGTTTATGACATTCTAGTCATACAGAAAGCCAATTTTCCCACTCCAGAACAAATTTAGCAGAATATTTTTGTTCATCAGTAATACTCTTACATACTTCAGAGAGAAGGGAACGTGTGTTTGTGTATAGATGTAGATACAAACAATTAGAATGTAAGAGTGTGCAGTGTATTAGAGAACTACTTGACACATGCATCATTTGTCTGCATTTCTGGGTTCATTACTCCAGCCCTCCCACCACCGTTCTGATGTCTAACACTTTGGCAGGAGTGGTCCAGACAGTTACCTAGCTCCATGTTTTGTTTTGAGTGAGCCTGGCATTAAGAAGAAAAAAAAAAGAGTCTCCCTTATCTTCCTTGTAAATGTAATGCTTTCACTCCAAATGCTCTCATTTGATGTCCAATATAAGCACAATTAATTTCTGCATAGGCAGCATCTTATTTTACATCCTTTGAGGATGAGGCATAAAGGTTCAAAATTCCTAGAAAGCAGAGCATGAGTAGGGCACCTAGAAATGGGACACAAAAATTATGTTGGGGACTTGAGAAATTCCCTAATGTCTTCAAGCCCAATCTTACAGGTACTGAAATATTTAAATAACAAGAACAGGCTTTCACAGGTAGGGAATAAAAACTGATGTTCCAGTAAAAACCGAGGCTGGTACGCTTATTTGACTGCTTTCATGTACTACTCAGTATTTCTGTCTTGGCTGAAAAATGTCAAAGGAGGTAAAACTATCAGGAAAAAAACCCTGGTCCAGGCTGGGGGTGGGTGAGGAGAAACACTCCCCGCAAGGTGCAGAAGACTACAAAAAGCGAGCTGTTTATCCCCTGTAAGGGAAAGGTGTTGTAGGGAAGAAAAAGCAGGTCATTCTCCTGTTGAAACACCTGAGAGAGTCCCCTGACTGCTGAAGGGAGCAGCCTGGGCACAGACGAGTGGCTTGCTCATGAATGTAACCATGAAAGCCCTCAGCCGTGGAAATGACCGTGCTGTCCTTGGCGACACTCAGTCAGTCCAGCTACTGGGAACTGGTAAGGGCCAGCTGCTGGTGTGCTGGTAGCTTGAATTTTAAACAAAGTCAGCTGGGGGTTATCAGTCCCATGTGCATTCCAGGTAGATCCTGTGGAATCTGGCTGAACACCTTCTTCCCATGGAGCGTGGGGAAAATCTTGCCACCAGCCTTGCGGGGGAAAAACATTCTCCTTTCCTCCGTGATGCCACCCACTGCTTTCGTGTCGCCTTACTGTCACAGAATTGCACCACGCAATCCTTGGTTTTAGCCCAGAATCTCAAATGCAAAAGCACATCTTTGTCCCTTTAACTTCACTCTCAGCTGTTACGACTGTTTTCTCCCCTCCTCTGGGACTGTGCACTCTGTTGCTGCTTCGGCTGCCGGGAGTGAGAGAGGAGAATTTCTCCTGCTGGCAAGCAACGGGCTAGCCAGGCTGGCGTGTTCCCAGGACGCTGCTGCTTGCATACCAGCAGGCAGAGGAGCAGGTGAAATGGGACTGGTGACATCTGTACAGATGCATTTGACTGCTTACCTGCTCATACGAATCCATTACCCTTAAAGCCTCCTTTTCTTTGACGAGATTTTTCTCTTTCTCTCTCAAATTATTTTTCCAAGGAGAAAAGGAAAAGACAGACAGAAATAGAAGGCAAGAGACAACAGCTTGAGGACCAGATACTTCAGCTGCAGCATTTCAAGGTAAGGGACTGATGCCAGAAATGATGGATTGACTAAATCTGTTCATTATTAGACATGCAGATCACACATCTGAAAGCTGGGAAGACCCCACTCCGACATGAAGCAGCTTTCATTGCCGGAGCCTATCTCTTGCAGTGATCGTGTCCTGCCTGCTTTTCATTCTGTGTGTTTCATGCATAGGAACATGTTGCAGAAATGGCTTAGGAGCATGGAGTCGGAAGGGTGTGAGCGCAGGCAGCACGGCACTGCTGTTATTATTAAACACTGTTATTTATTATACATAATGGTAAGACATGAATCACTCTGGATTGGGTGTGCACTGCATAGCTTCACTGAGCTCTTTCTGTCTGCAGAGCTGCATTGGATTTTTCTGGTGCCTGTCATTAGGTTTGTGTGCGTTGTGTGTTGCAGAGAGGGTGCTAGTTAGCATATGTGTGTGTGTGTGAAGCTTTAATTGTAGGATGAAGTTATTAGGTGTACATGGCATAATAAAATGGGCATGCATGCAGATGCAGGGAGTGTGTTGATGCATACGTGCGTGTCTACATGGAGAGGAGCCTTGATATTTGACAGGGTGCTGAGCAGCCCCCAGTCCCTGTTGGACTCCATGACAGCTGCAGAATATCGTCATTTGAAAGCCATGCTGGTTATTTCTATCATTCAGCCTTCCTATCAGTAGCAGAGTTTGTCATTACATTTGTGTAGAGCAAAGCGAACAAAAATGTACATGTGATCTTTTTGTAACCAGTGTGCCTTTTTGGGTCAAATCTCGTTAGTTTACTTCAGCAGGGGAGCCTAAGGAATTTTAGTGATTAACATATCTGAGAAAGATGATCAGGACTGGGCAGTTTATTCTTGCAGCAAGCAAGCTGAGCTGTGCTTTTAAAATCAGACATTTAGGTTGGTTGTACAATAGTATGTATGCATATGTGAACAGTACACCTGTGAGGGGTGATGGTGCACAGAATGTCTTCTCTGCCCACGCATGCACTTGAAGACCAGACTTCAAGTTAACGCTACAGACAGGATGCTCCTGCCTCTCCAAGACCCTGGCATCATGTTCTGTAAACTGTTTCTCATTTTCTGGTAAACATGATGCAGTTAACCCCAAGCAATCGATTACAGCCTACACAAATGCTCCATTTGGCTTCACCATAAATCTGTTGATGTCACAGATTGTCTTCAGTATTACCAATGATGTGATTGCTTTTCTGTGGGCAACAGGAGTTGCAATTTCCTTCAGGCTGCCATTGACTACAGGCAAGGGAGAATTTCTTCTGAGGACCGTAGGTTGATGCAGCAGGGCAGTAAGATGCCTTTCCAGTGCCTTCATGGTGCTTGCTTTTCTTCTCTTGCTGCAAAGCTGGGGACTTCCTTTATCATGTTAACTGTTTCCAAACTAGCTGAATTATGCTTTTTCATCAAATTCTTTAATCAGAGACTTTTGGAAAGCCAGACATGGAAATTCTTTACTTCATTTGTTTTATTTTAATATAAAAATGTTTAATATATTTAGCTGTTGCTAAACAAAATTCTGTCATAATCCACAGGCAAAAGGAAAACCTCTCAAGGTGGTGCAGTGGAGTCAGCCCCTCAGCTAGAATAAACTGATACTGACTTCAGCCACTAGCAGAGGTTCAGTCTTGTTGCATGGATTTTTTCAGTGATATACACGAAAATTAGCTATTTCCCTATATTATTTAGCTCACATAATGGAGCAAGAACAAGAACCGTGCAAGAAGCTCAGGGGACATCAGGGCACAGAAATTTAAAATGACATCCTTCTCCACTAAAAGCACTCAAGCTTTGTAATGCTGGGTACGAGAATGAGCATCAAGTATGATAGGAGCTTCTCTGCCTCTCCATTAAGTATCATCACTTCTCATTAGAGGAGAAGTGTGTTGCTTTTACTGGGAGGTCACAATAACTGCTGCTGTAGGAGCTGCCTGTACCACCACACTGCACCACCACCAACAACTGTCTGCTGGAAGACCTGGTTGAGGTGATAGCACAGGTCTGTCTAAGATAGATTTCATCCTGACTGCTGCTAAGAACTTCCTGAACAGATGGAGGCCCTGGCCTCCACAAAAAAAAAAAAAAAATACATATATATTTTTATATATATATATATATATATATATATATATATAAAACTGGGGCACTGGCTGACTGTATTTCCCTTTGTCTGTGGTGGCAAACCAAGCAAACTGCATTTTCCTTTCATGCTTTGTTTAGTGTTCTGGTTGCTTAGTGGAGTGCTGACCAAAATGGTATTTGGCCCACCAGGTTGTTCTGTTCATTTAGAAAGCTGTGTATCCCCCCTTATTCTCTCTCACCTCACCCTGGATGCTCTGAGCCTCTGCAAGCCAGGGGCTCCAAGTCCACTCTGAACGGAGTCTTGCAGTCTGATATGGCTCCCCAGTCTGGCTCTCACAGTCCAAAATAGGTGCATTCATTTTCCTTCAGAAGTGCTAGGTGCAACATGGTTAATTTCCTGAATTATGTGGATTTCACTAATTCTAAACTGATTCTGTGCAAGACAGAAATCAGGTCAAAAAGATGAGGCTTACCCAAGAAGCCCATTACCTAAAATGATGTGAGGTTATTGATGTCAGTGTAGAGTGCAAGGACTTTGTAATAACTGGGTTAATACTGTGTCTGCTGTATCTGGGTTGATCCCACAAGTGGAGCAGCTTGAATTCACCCAAAGACATTCATGCCAGGATTCAATGGGTTTGCTTCGTTTTTATGCAATGCCAGTGTAATTTTTATCTTTTAAAATCACTGCGTAAAATAGCATGTTTGGTTACCTAATAAAGATTCAGGAAGCTGCAGGGGTTTTGTTAATTTCAGACAATGTCATTCACATAGGAAAAATGCCACACAGAAATAGTTCATTGCAAATGTTTGTGCTGGATTACCTACATTTTTCAAGTTGCTGCTGATGATTAGACCCATGGCAAAATAAGTCTACCAGCAGTTATTCATTATTCCCTTGTTAAGTACCTGGCTGGAAATAAGGGAACAGTGGCCACTGCCCCGTTGCGTTAGGCAAAACAACTCAGCAGTCATTGGAGTTAGTAAATGTCAGTATTGAATGTGGATGAGGCTTTGGCAACACATTTGCAAAAGCTCCTGAGAATGCCCCTGATGGTTTTAAGGCTGCAGACATCAAGACAAAAACATTGCTCAGATATTCATGGTCTGTGTGAGTTTGTGAGTTAATCAAGTAAAACCCCCCCAGGTGTGAAAGTCTGGAGTAGGAGAGGATCTAGAGCAGTCTAGGCTGTAAAAGGTGAATTCCCTCATTGCCGACAGTGAAAGTGTCATCTGTGAATCACTGAAAATTAGGGACGTTGGTGAGCACAGAGCAGCCAGGGTGGTACTTCTGGACTGTTGAGGCACTCCATTGAAGGCAGGAGGTATATTTATCTACATTACAATCAGATGTTTCATTGGAAAGGCCCTGGGTATTGGAAAATGTTTGAAGCAACATTATTTGAGTATAACATTTTGAACATGCTTTTTTTTGCTCCAGTAAGAGGCCATTTACAGCACCTCCCCTTGCCTCCCTCCTACTTGGCCATATGCCTACACAACAGGACTTGCCACATCTATGGGAACTGAAGGTCTTACCAGATTCTATAGTTTGAAATCAGAGAAGCAGACAATATTCACCTTACACAGGACAATGATTTTAGTTCTTCAGTTGCACTGGAGGTATAATCTACAAGCAACAGTTGCTTTTAAGAACTTGTTCAGCTAGGCAGCAGTTGGGTAGGCCTGTTTTAATGGAGTTGCTTGCTATTTCAAATAAATTCTGGGGTAGAAGTATTTCTTCTGAGATTTGGCTGCCTCTGTATTTAGTTGAAGAGAATTTCTGTAATTATTTACTGTAGCTCTGTTTAGTGGCTGCTGGTAATAAAATAAACAGCACAAAACCTCCTAACTAAATGAAAAATTGGTCTCTGCTGTTACTTTATCTATTATAACGAATCTAGTTACCACAGTTATTTTATCTCTGTGGGGTATAAATATTAGGGACCTATTTCTGTTAACGTCTGCTTCTAGAAGACTGCAATTAATGAACACTTAATCTATAATATAATTAACATCCTTATTCTGAAGGAAAGGAAAGCTTTTTTATGTTATAGAGATCTTGTTAGGGTATGGCTTTAGCAGAAGCTATTTTATTATACTTATATATAATATTAAGTATATCAAAAATATATTAAGCATATAATAATATGGATATAATAAATATATTAAATATATGTTATATACTCAAAATTATGTGTCATTTTAGTTTTATTATTCCACAGTTACATTGCTGTCATTAATTTTAGTTTTAAAATCTAGTCTTAAAATCAGAGAACATAAATAGATGTATCTATCCATCTATCTACATGTGTGTATGCAACAGTGTTGAAAAACAGACATAACTTTTGCTAATGAAGGAATCTTGTTACTTCTTTATGTTGGATCCTTCGATGACTTTCAAGTAAGTCAACTCTTAAACCAATGGCAACTCAGTCAAGCACATAAAAAATGTCTTGCGATCTCATGGACAGTCTCCATTCTCTACAGGGTCAGTGCAAAAGCCCTCAAAACCTCTTCTTCTTACTCACAGAATCTTAGAATACCATGTTGGAAGGGACCTCAAGGATCATCTGGTCCAACCTTTCAAGGCAAAGCGTGACCTATACAAGATGTCCCAACACGCTGTCCAGCCGAATCTTAGAAGTGTTTCGGTGTTGGGGAACCCACCACTTCCCTGGGGAGATTTTTCCTGGCTGAATCTTCCCATTGGCAAAAGATTTCCTCTTGTGTCCGATGGGAAACTCCCTGGGAGTAACTTGTACCCATTACATTGTCACATGTACATCTTTTCCATGTGACTTCTTGTACAAAGGGAGCCTCCATTTTCTCTATAACAACCCGGTAAACGGTGGAACATGGTCACAAGGTCTCACCTGAGACTTCTCAAGGCTTAACAAACC